TTTTTTTTTTTTTTTTTTTGACTCGAATTATTGGTTTGATTCGATTTAGTATAAAGTGTATAGACACACTGTGCCTGTATGAAGCAGTTAAAGACAAGTATAAATAACAAACTGCGGTATTTGAGGAGCACTTTGAAAGGTAGCCAAAGTTGTAGAGTTTTGCACTAGATTAAGCTTTAACTTCTTGGTTTGGTTTCTTCTTTCTTTTGTAATTGGATAGGCAGCAGTACCGGGTTATGGTGCAACTTCTGAATAGCATGGAGCACAAGGTATTAAAGGATGTGCTAGGCTATCCCAACTTCATTCTTTGCTAACCAGCTACACGACAAAAGGGTATACAAAAGAATTTACTGTGTTTATATCAGTAGTTTAATTTTAGGAATCAAATACTAAAAAGAAATTAAATATTACGAAGTAGTAGTAGTTAACCACAATTTGGTAATAAGTTTCTATATGCACAATAAATATCTTGCATTCATAAGTTTGGTTTTGACACTTCACATAAAGTGCAAACTTATCCACTTGTTGTAAGATTAAAATAATTTCAAAAGTGCAAACTTATCCACTTCACTAACCATAGAAGACAACCGCGTTAATCTTTTTTGACAGGACGAGTCAAAAACATACTCATTAACTCAAAGAACACCCCAGACTTATTCCTACTGTCTTTCAACCTCCCAGGAATCAATCTTGAATCACGCTAGACTTCGTCCCAATCTTTAATAGGGTAAAGCCTAACTCTAAAAACAAAAACCGTAAATCTATACGTTGCACAAATAGTATTTTTCTTTATCTTTCAATTTCTGAAGAATGCTGATAAGAGCAGAGGTGGTGAATTTATTCAACTTTTGAAGAATGAGCTTAAAGATATTTGTATAAGGGTAACCGAGCTCGTGGTATACCCCGGCTTTCGATATGATAAATCGAGCCTGAGACATGATTATAAGGGACGAGAATCGAGACTAGGGTCTCATCGAGTCAGAGCTCGGGGGCATGATGCCCGCCCTCGAAAATATCAGAGCCATGATCTGGTATCGGTCCAAATCTTAAAAGACTTCAGAGAACCTCGTCAGGCAACCGAGCACGGCCAACAGAAGGTCGTGATATCCACGACCGGCCAAATATCATGGCGTGGATCTCGACACGTATCGATGGAGAAACGGTGATTAGTTAAACATGAGATTTTTTACCTTTTATAGAATTATACCTAGAGTAGGACTCCCCCACTATATAAAGGGGAGTCTGATTATTCGTTAGAGACTGTAATATGCATTTCAAGGTAATATATTATTATTTTCTTTATTCTTATTCTTGCTCATTAGTACTAGTCTTTTTGATCCCAGATCGGGGTAGATATCCCATCAAGGCTATAATCATCTTCATCACATGGTTTAAGTTTACTACATCTTTATTTAATTAATCTAACGCAATTTATCGTTTGTATCGAATTAATCCGCGTATCCTTAAAATTACTTACAAATTTAATTATTATCCGTTTCTGAGGGTAAACAGTTTGGCGCCCACCGTAGGGCTAAGAATAATAGTGGCAATTTGATACAAAATTCATAGCACACCCTACTTCACACTTGTTCTTTGAAGTGTTTTTGATTTCAGGTCAAAATTTAAAATGTCGAACTCCCAACCTGCCCCTCTAAATATGGATGCTAAGTCTGGCCACAATGGCGAGAATAACAACATAATACCCGGTAACGAGGTACCCTCTGCCAATCCCAACGGAATCCCGACCGCAGACCCAATCGACGCCAACTCACATGTGGCCATTAATGCGAATTTGCCTATCGATCCTAAGAACATCGTCCGCGGGGGAGTCCGATCGGTAGCCGAAAATACACGCGATGGTGAAGGAGAAGGGATCAACTTGCGAGTGATCTTCAAAATGCTACAGGCTCAACAGGCAGCGATAGCCCAATTGCAGAACCAAAGCCGAGCTCCCAGTTGAGCTCGAACCAATCCCGGGAAAACACTCACAGAAATGAACCAGTCACAGAGAGGCCAAATGAAGCTGAATCAGGGACCAACCCTGAGATAATAAAGATGACAAAACGGGTAGAAATGGGAGGGAAAAAAATCGAGGCCAACGACAAAAGTGTGGAGACCTACAACTCTAGGGTCGACCAAATCCCAGGAGCACTACCGATACTGAAAGGCCTAGAATCCAAAAAGTTTGTTCAAAAACCTTTCCCTTTGAGCGCGGCTCCGAAGCCGATTACAAAGAAGTTCTGCATGCTCGAAATTCCTAAGTACAACGGAACAACTGACCCAAATGAACATGTGACCTCCTACAAGTTAACCATCAAGGGAAAATGACTTGGAAGATGATGAGATTGAATCTTTCCTGCCAAAAAAAGTTCGACTAGACCTTGTCAAAAGGAGCTATGATATGGTATCACAACTTACTCTCCAATTATATTAACTCATTTGCTATGCTTGTAGATGCTTTTGTAAAAGCGCACACCGGAGCCATCAAGGTCGAGACCAGGAAGTCCAACCTTTTCAAGGTAAAGCAAAGAGATTACGAGATGATCAGGAAGTTCATGTCAAGGTTTCAAATGGAACATATGGACTTGCCGCTGGTGGCAGACGATTGGACCGTTCAGGCCTTCACCCAAGGACTTAATACTCGAAGCTCATTGTCTTCGCAGTAGTTGAAGCAAAATTTAATAGAATATCTGGAGGTAACTTGGGCCGATGTGCATAACTGGTATCAATCAAAAATTAGGGTCGAAGATGATCAGCTTGGGGCCCCTTCCGGGTCTGTTTATCCTGTCTGAGCTAGTGATAGATCCAAAAGAGATGTTGATCATGAACCAAGGTCAAGTAGAGATTGGTATCAATCGTACAACAATGATCGTAGGGGTAATGGGTCT